ATTTTTTCACTTTCTGCTGGTATGTAAAGGAGAGGGAAGGAAAGTAGTTTACTGACCACAAACCCCAGTGTTGTACTTCCTCCATATTAAGCAATAAGGGACAGAGTTTAGACATTTTAAAAATGTTAATTTCACAGAAGGAAACCAGAAAAGAGCTAGTTAACACTACATCCAAAAGGAAATGACAAAGGGCTTCTGGTAATTAATGACTGAAACCTCTGAATAAAGAATTTAAAGGGCTAAGGGGTTGTCAAACACACTAACTGTCCACACGAGGGCAGCAGTGCTATGATTTACAAAAACAAAACAAAACAAAAAACAGGACAGTTTCATTTTAGTGTAACCTTTCATGGATGAACCTGGAAATGAAAGCAATGTAGGTTAGAAGAAAAAATGAGTTCAGTCACTCAATTTTGCATGATTTCAGGAAGTCAGTACACTAGGGTTAAATCCTGTTCCTGAGTACAAATATGCAAATTCTTAAAATATGTAAAAAAGTTCATTCTGAGTTACAAGATTAGGGGCCAGTCATTACTCAATTTTAGAACACCAGAGCTGCCTACTTTCCTTAAACCTAGAATCTACTTCACCAATGCAAATGCGAATTCCTCCTGTCCCAGGTCTTTTCAGCATTTTTGCAGACAACTTTTGTTGTTAGTCACCTTGAATGTTCTCCCTATATATTTTATACCAATATACAAATATAAAAAATAACCTCAAGTTAAAGCCACATAAAATTTGATAAAATGCTTTATTTATAGTCAAGCTAGTTTTCATCCAGTGTTGGTATTAGAAAGATTGCTTCTTGTATATTTAAACCACAGATAATCTTGTTTGGTTAGCTAGGCAACAAGACCTTATTTCAAGTCTTAGGCATTTTCTGATTTCTTTAATACGCTGATTTAATAAAAACTCAAATATCTTAAGTAAATATAAGCCTTTACCTCCTGTCTCTGTAAGTTTCTATGTACAAATGGACTGTGGGCTTGTCACTAAAGCGGAGGTTTTCAACCTTAGCTGCATATTAGCACTTGGGGAGCTTTAAAAAAGTCCCTCTGCTCAGGCGACAATTATGTTGGAAGATTGGC